CCCCCCCCCCCCCCCCGCCCTCCTACACGACCCCCAAACAGACCCCCCACCCCCGGCTTACTCTTGCACTGCAGCTCCACCATGGCCTGGTACCACTCGTCCTGGTCCGCCTCGCTCTCCGCGGCCACGGCGAAGCTCTCGCCCCGCGTGTACAGCACGATCATGTGCTTGTTCTTGGCGTCGGCCCGCTTGTTGATGTTGAAGCAGGTCTCCAGCGCCACCACCTTCTTCGGGACGGGGGCCTTGCCGCGGTACTTCTTCTCGCTCTCGTAGTACTCCAGGCGGGCCGGGCCCCGCTCCGAGGCGGCGCGGAGCACGAAGTACCGGCGGTGCATGGACTTCTGCTTGCGGAGGTAGCCGCTCTTCCGCACGTCCTCGGTGCTCGGGGGCTCTCCCGCCGGGCTCTCCATGGCGGCCCGGGAGTCTCAACAACAACAACAACAAACAAACCAATGCAATAAAAACAAAAAAAAACGCGACTTGTTTTCTGTTTTTCTTCAAGTTTAGCGAGGGGACCGAACGCTCCCCCGGCTCCGCTGCCCCCCTCTGTCCCACATCCACGCCGGCATGTGAGGGGAAGAGGCGGGGGGGGGGGGCTCCGGGCTGCTGGGTCCCCGCGAGTCCCGGAGCTTCAACCAGTTACAGCTTCTTCTTCCCCCTCTTTTCCTAGCGGGAGGGGGGTTTGTTTTCTCTCAGCGCAAGTTTTTTTTTTTCCTCCAAGCGGCCACGGACTAGAGCACGCGCGGGCTCAGCTTTTCGCGGGGCTCCCCCCTCCTCTCGGCCGCCACTACTGCGAGTGTTTCCCGGCGCCGTCCGAGTGGTTTAATCCCATTTTCTGCACCCCGCGGAGCCCTCGCCGTGTCTCGGCCTGTCCCCCCTTCCCCTGCCCGGCTCAGCTCGGCCCGGCTCGGCTCGGCTCTCTGGAGGCTGTGGCGCGCGGAGCGGAGCAGCTACCGTGGAGGGGGACTGTCACTCACCGCTGTACTAGTACTCCGGAACACGGTGCGTTCAGGGACACGGCTCCAGCTCCGACAGCAGAGCTCCCTCCCACAACGCGTCCTTTCCCCCACAACAGCTGCCAATAAACGAGAGTAAACACTTAATAAATGTACTAGAAACCGACCCACGGTCAAAATATAAGATCTTAACATATTTCAGAAAAGATTAGAAAGAGTTTTTCAGTGTAGATTGTGTTTTATTTTCATTACTAACTCTAATACACAATGAATATGTACTTATATATCTATATCTTATAGTATACATGTGCATGCTAGATACAATTGAAAAAATTCTAAACAGTTGGGGGTTGTCTTGATATTGGCCATGATTCATCAAGGTTTGGTCTGGTTGGGGCTTATTTCTTTAATATAAATGGGAGAGCATCATCAGATCAGTCAGACTTACTAAACTGAGATAAACTCAGTGGCAAAACATGAAAATGAAAAGGAACACACCTTTTTGTACATTAGGACTGTACAATAATCTGTTTACACTGATATTTTCTATTACACTGTAATTCTGGGGTTTTGCATTTGACTGATTTGCACAGCTGATAAAAAATACACCTAGACTGCCCTTAAAAACAGGTTGAAATCACATAAAAAATACTGGTAATCAGGGGGGAAATATGACATTTCAAAGAACTCATTACTAAGGAGATGTATTTAATTCAATGAACAATCTATGCTGCATTATTCTACGATATACTTTTGTATTTGTTAAAAGAGGACTGCCTTCCTCTTGTCACACAATCATTTTAATCAACAAGTTTATATTTTCTTACAAAGAACACAAATGATCACGTCATATGAAAATTATAGAGGTTGTTTGCCTGCTTTGGAAGGTTTTAATTCAGTGATACAGCTCACACAAACTGTAAGTACGTGATCAGGTGTCCTTTGTGTTGTATTGTTCCATTTTCAAAGTAGTTTTTCGCGTTTCTTTAAACTTGTTCGTCCTTCATCGGTGCGATCGCTCTAATTCCCCACGGCCCCTGAAGGCAGCAGCCCCTCCACACTGTGTGAGAGGAGTAAAATTTCAGTCTTGGCGCTTCCACGAGTCCACCCTGTTCTATTTATTGTAGAAATCCCCCTCGGCCTCGCATTGAAATGTGAATAAATTGACACATATCTAACTGCACCCTGAAGATTTCTGGCCGCCTCTTAAGGAAAAAGAAAAGCTGCATTAGAGCAGCTGAATTTCAGCTGACGGTGATGAAACTTTGGGGTCAGAGGGAATTTACAAGTTCTGGGAATTCAGTCATTTATATCCTGGGTCTGGGTTCCCGATTGAAGGATGTGGCAGCAGCTTAAACTGCTATAACCGGCCAGATTAAGTATTTTTAGACACCACACTGTCCGTTTATTGTTTTTCTGGGCTCTCAAGAGTGGAAAAACTAACCTAAAACGGTCCAACAGCTCTCACACTCGGATAAATATTTCAGAAACGCTCTATTATAGTGTTTCTGCAGGATCCGAAGGGGCTTCTGTCTTCGTGCTGTGTGCTTATGCAGTATGCATGTTGTTATGCAAAATGCATCCAAAAGTAACCTTGAACACGAGGGCAGAGAAATGTGGGTGTCACGCGCCCCCTGCCGTTTAACATCCTCACAACTCCACTAAAGCCATTCACGTTTGAGATGTTTTGAACTGTCCCATTTTCTAAAAGAAAAAAAAAAAAAAAAAAAAAAAAAAGAGAGACACGGAAACTGTAACACTATTTTAAGAAGCAACAAGTTGATTTTATGAACATGAATACTTGTAATTACAAAGGTGTTAACACATGAAGATCTTCTCCTTTTCTTTCTTTTTTTTTTGGCAAAATTATGGGGAGGTCAACTCGATCTCCTAGTCAAACCAAAAAAAAGAACGAAAAACAGAAGAAAAAAAAACAGAGTGAAAGCATTTTGGTCCGGTACATGAAGCAATGAAGTTTTTACACAGATTTTTTTACTTAAGTTTTTTTTCTGAAATTTGCTTTTACATTCAGTAGCATCTCCTTTTAGCCCTCTAAGCGCATGCAGCCTGAGAATGGAAAACATACATCATCCTTCAGAGGAAACCTGACAAAAACAAAAACAAATGCAAACATATTTCACATACACGCACACACACTCACACACACTCACTACAGAGACAAGTCCGTCTTCTCTTGAGAAGCTAATTCACATGCATCAGGAGGTTGTTAAGGCTGTTAAAACAATTTGTAAAGACTCGTGATGCGGGGTCAAAGTCTCGGCTGGCCGGTCGACCAACCTGACTTAATGGTATTAAAGCAGAGGACTTTTTTTTCTTTTCTTTTTTTTTTTTTTTTTTATTAGCGATGAGCTGGGTTTTTTTTTTGTGTGTGTGTGTGTTTTTGCACTTGTAAGCAGGAGATGAAAGCACAACAGCAGCAGCGTGTGTGTGTAACGTGTGTGTAATGTGTGTGTGTGTGTGTGTGTGTGTGTGTGTGTGTGCGTTTCGGGGGGGGGAATTAAAGAGGCGTTGCTTACTCGCGACTCTCGCCGAGCCCTGAGGTGGCATCTACTGGCACACGAACATCTTTTGACATACAGAGGTACAAACATGGCAGGCCGACACTCCCATACATAATTACATTCATACTTTTTCCTTCCAGTCTCCTCCGTAAACACGTAAACACAGACACGTAGAGGAGAACGGGAGGGAGAGAGGGAAAACCCGACCCTCGCCGATAGGGTGAAAATACTCCGGAGGCTTTGAAATGGCAGCCACTCCTCAAGTTCACTTCTCCCTCGATTCCCAGAGAAGCAATGAGAGGGGCGGGGTGGTCAGATGAAAGGGTTTCTGGACGTCCCCCGACTGGGGTAAACATTCCCCTGTAACAGAGGAGAGGCAAGGGGTTTGAGAAATGGCCCCTGAAGTCCACAGAAGCTAAAAAAATAGAAACCGACCAGGGGCCGGACCTCACCGTGAAGGGGTTCACAGACATGGACCGGGGAACTTTGGGCTGAGATTCGGAGGCAGGGAAGGAGGCAAAACCTGACGGAGAAAACAGAAAAAAAAAAGAGGAAAACGGCACGGTCAGTGGGGCGCTGAAACCAGAAACCAGAAACGGCAGCGGCCCCCTTTGGTGGGTGTGTCGGCGGGTATTTGTGGACGGCCGAGAGTCCAGTTTCGGGTTTGGGAGCAGAGGTCCACTGGGTTTAACTGATGTGCTCTACTGGTGACAGTTTGGATTTGCTGGAGGAAATAATCTGACATCTCTATGCAGCCTCTGTCCAGATCCGGGTCCAGGAGCCTGAGGGACGTCATGCCCATCCACAGAGCAACCCACTTCCTATCCACAGTAGCACCCCCCCATAATAAGTGGCAAAAGGCCCCCCCAAGGTTGCTCGACCGAGCGTTCTGCTAATCCGTAAACATGCCGTGAAGTCAGTGTGGAGTTTCTATCACGACAGGCCGTGGTTTAAAGAGCCTCATTTCCTGCACAGGTCAAGTCACATGACCAGAGAAAAGCCACTTATTGCTCTTTCAGGCGTCACGTTTGAGATGAGCGTGTCGCATTTATTTTGTTAATCACTCCAGGAGCTGACTATAGTTTTAGTCATTTGTGAAACTTACTCTCCCCCACAGCTTAATTGATCTGTGAACATTTTTATAATGTCTAGTTCTGTCAATATACAGTTTAAACGATTATTCTTCGAGTCCTATAAAAAGACAGACGTGACCTTTTATTAATGTTGGAAGCTAAGAGGTAGAAATAGTGGTATTTTCTTTACAAATGCACATAGATGGAGATACGATCTACACAACTTTGAGAGGTTGCGTTGTTGACTGACAATTTCTGAACGATTCCCAGCATGTCCAATTTTGTTCAATAACAAAGAAGAGTTAAAGGGATCTCACCGTTTGCTTCTTGATTGATGGCTGACTCATGAGGGAAAGCATCCTGGGTGGCGGGCGCCGGGAAGGAGGCGGACGGAGGAAAAATCGAGGTGGGCGAAGTGACAAATGCACTGGAGTCACCTGGAGAAAAAGAACCACCCACGTCCAGCCCAATCAGACCGGTATCGGCTGAGGGGGAAAACAATAGAGAGCTGCCTCCCTCTTTGTCTCTGAGC